TACCAGCAGACATGCCATCGCACATCCCTTTTCCTTTCCCTCTTTCCTCGAAGCTTACGTCCGAATCCATCCGCTCGCACACGCAAAACAGAAAATCAGGCGCAACGAAATTGGCCCCATCCGTCTGTCTTTTCCCTGCGCGTGGCTGGGGTGAGGGTCGATCGATTCGTTCGATTGGCTGAACCAGGAATACAATAAATAAACGAATGCGATGTGCATTAAGGTTCGAGACGAAACGAAATCGAATTGAAAAGCATCCGGGTAAGCCAATATGATCGATTAGAGTCAGTTAGAACCGTGAACGTTGAATTCAGTCCTGCAGATGGCTCTCTCTCTCTCTCTCTCTTTCTTTCTTATTATTCTCTGTCATCAAGGTATTCTTCCCGAATAGCCGAAAACCAGTGGACGATGGTGCTTTATCAGCTAGGAAATAGCAGAGCGAGTCGCGCATTGTGACCGGCCGAGATTAAACCTATTGTTTTCACGCTTGCTCGAATCGAATAACCCAGGGGAGGGATGAGAAACAGGAACTCGTTTCGAAGCAGAGCTTCTCTCTGTTCATTTGTTGCAATCTACCCGACAACACGTACATATATATATACATATGTGTGTGTGTATAACAGCTTTGCTAATTTCCTGTAATAGAACCTCGCCTCTTATATCAACGAGCTACTTCTGTTAGTGGCCCTCTCGGTGGTGATGGAGAATTTTACCGATGTGTTCGAACAGTTTTATCCCGGCTTCATCTCGTTATTGTTCGGAAGATTCGTTTTATTTTTGCCTCGGCGGTCGAGTCAAGTGATCGATACCTCGCTGAAACTGATAACATTTGCCGCACGGACTTTCTGTTTATTACGGTGCTTTATCGCGGAACTTCTGCCGCGTGTGAATCGTGCGAAACCAAATAAAACGAGTCGCTTCTCTATGAATTGAAAGCTACACCTCGCCCACCAAGCGCATTACTGTTTTTCGTAATACGGCGCATAAACCTGTCGGTTGGTTGCGCATTTTTTAATCTGGTGGCAGCCAGGAAACATTCCAGGAAAAAAACTTCGTTCTGTAGAGACAGCGAGGAGCAATTACCGGATGATATCCGTGTCGCTAATTCGCGAATCGACGCAGAGAGAAATGACTTATTCTCTATAATCTGTCCAGGAGGGATTAAACTGAACGCACTCGGCGAAAGTTTCATCGGCTAAATGAACCCCTAAATCACTCAGACGCGATTTATTATCGTTATTACGCGTCGTCGCGAGGCGGGACGCTGCGAGGAACAGAGGAGCGGACAAAAATCGAGAGACAGATAGACAGAATGGCGGAAATGGAAGGGAGAAACAGGATTGGCGTTAGTGTTTACCGGCCGTTCCCGCGGGAATCAACCCGTTGGTAGCACTGAATGGCACTATCTACTTTGCCCCGTTCGCCGGTTCGCAGCAGCCGGCAATGTTTCAAACTCCCTTCCTCTCTTTTTCTTCTTTTCTCCTTTTTCTCTCTCTTTTTTTTTGTCTTGTTTTCGTCGGCCCACTCTCTACTTCACTGCCCACTACCCGTTTCGATGCACGTTTCCGTTTCACTCGCGCTGACGCAATCTCGAAAAAAATTCGCCGGGTCATAAATCGCTGAATGCAGAGGTGAAAATGAAATTTCCCGGTTTGCATTACACGCATTGACGATGGTCGCATTACAGGTGAAAGCTTTGGTAGTCCACCGCCCGGTGAAAAGCTTTCATCCTTCGGTTAAATCCTTTACCGGGTTAGCGTAATACGTATTTAATAATACGTACTTCGCTCCCTCTGTTATATTCAGAATCACAGTTTTCCGATTTCCGCGCAAGGGGAAGGGTGTTTCCCAATTTTCAAGCCACGGTTGCCTGATATTTTCTGATAGTCGTTATCCGCGCGCTGCTGCTGCGCGTGTGTCGAGTGGCGCTGACGTGGATTATAAGAATGTGTACAATATCTGTGTACATATATACATATATTGTACATATAATCGAACGAACGGCAGAAAGTAGAGAAGATAAAGAAAGACAAAGAGATAGAGAAGGCAGGGAGTAAGAGAGAGAAAGGGGGAGGATTCGAGAAGGAGCAGTGAAAAGAGAGGAATCCTTTCCAGGGCGATGCCTAGCTCCTAATTGCATGCCAGAGAGTGACTGCATCTCTCCTCCCTTTTCCCTACTGTTTTCACCCTCTCTGTTTCACTCTCAGTCGTCCTCTCTCGCTCGGTAAGTATTTGCAAGCTACCCCCCACACCCTAACAGCACGCCACTCCGGAAACGTGGCATAAGAAACGTTATTGCGCCACTCCGTGAAATTTCCTGGTACGACCCTGTCGCTATCCCTTTTCTCCGTTACCGTCCCCTCCTCTCCCATTTACCCTCAGCGACGTGCATTCGGAAAAGGCGGCAAGCAAGTATATTACGTTCTGGGTTGACATTCTTCCGGTATCCTTTCAACCGGGATGCTAATATCGCCGAACAGGAATAAAGAAAAGAAATACAATAAAAAAGAGCAAACGCAACCAAGAAAGAGAGAGAGAGAGAGAGAGATCGTTTCACGGGCGATAATTGAAAAAAATAGAACGTTGATTACTATTCCTTCACTTCTGGAAACGTTACGCGAGGAAAGATAACAGCGGTCGTTCATGTTTTTCAGCTCGCTGGTTGTTGGGTTACTTTTATGAAAAAAAAGAAAAAAAAAAAAAAGAAAAACGCTGCGAGTAATTAACCTGTCGGATTCGCGAGCGAATAGTTGGCGTAGAACAGTCGGTAAATTAAACGGGTGGAAAGTGGGCACTGTGAGGTTGCATAAGAGGATGCAGATGATAGGATTTAGACGTGAATGCTGGCAAGTATCGAACATTCATCGAAGGGGATTGATTCATTGCCCGTTGGCTTTAGTCAAAAACAATCGAATTTGCCGGGTACCCTGTACCATTCCGCTAGTAATATTCCGTTTAAGAGGATTAGTTCGCTCCGTAATTTTCAATTTACTGCATCGCTGTTACCACTGTCCGTTTTAATTAAATTAAGCCCAACTTCTGCCTTGCCCCCTCCTATTTTCAGTTGTCCTCGCCTGCGCGCGGCATTTTCAATACCGTGTTTCAATATTGTGCTCCCCTTTTGATAAACACGCAAGTCGCAAACGTGAAGTTCCAGCCGTGCATTCGCATATTACAATATCTCCACGCATTAAAGGATATCGGCCACGATTTCTTCACGCGGTCGAGGGACGCGATGGTTGTCCTGTACCTGTTGATCCCTCGCCGGGCTCCCCGATCCATTTCGCTCGTCCTTCCATACGTAGATACGAAGAGGGCAAATAACTGCCGGCGGAGACTGGCCTGAGAGGGGAGAGGGGAATGCTGGAATTATGCTACCTTCTCGAAAAGCAATAAAATAAATCATGCCGCGCGAGGACACGCGTTGCGGCTCTGTATCCACCTACCTTTCTCTATCCTTCGCTCTAAGCTTCGATACGGCGGGAGAGAGCTGCCGAGGCGACTTCTCCCGCGGGAAATCAGAGAAAGATGCACTGCGACGTGAAGGACTCTTTTCTCGTCCCGCTCTTTCTTCTTTCTCACCCGTGGCGCCCTATCCCGTTCTACTCCTCCTTCATCCCCCATCGTGTGCCGAACGACGCCGCACATTTTCGCTTTCCATGCGCACACGTGTTCCTTCCACTGTCTTGTTTCTCGGCGAGCAAATCGAAGAAACCGATCGGTCGTGAACAGGGATAAGATGGAGAAAGAGGAGGAGGAGGAAGAAGAAGAAACTGACAAGAGGGGTAAGAAATGAGAACTCGTACCGATCGGGGAATCGAGGCGGGTGTATTGTGCCTCGCCTGGGAAGTATCAAAAGGAGTTGTTCCGAGATGTATGCAGTGCACCGTTGAGATTGCGACGTGAACGTCGATCGTTTATTCTATTTCTTTTTAAACCGATGTGACGACTAATCAGATCAGGCCAATGTTCACGCGCCTAGAGGAAATTTCATTCTGGACGTGTACGAAGTGAAGTGTTTACTCTTCACTTTACACATGTTTAAAAGATGAGAAACGAATGCGTGATTAGAAACTAGAGGTCGTGTTTGCAACTTATTGATAACGTTTGCCGCTGCCGAGATAACGCGTCGAGTAGTTCCATTTCTTTATCAAACGTATCTTAATTTTACTTAATAATACTTGTTTCCTTCTTTTTGAAGGATTGACGCGGCATGTTAATGCAGTGGAAATGACAAACACGGAAGTAGTAAAAGAACATAAAGTCGAACTTATCAGAAAAGAATAATGAATATTTAAACAATATGAAATAGTTTATACTAAGTAGTAATAAGTTTTCAAGCAAGGAATAATAATCTTTTTCCTAAAACGAAAATAAATATTACACGATAACGCTATACGATACAACTGAACAGAATTATTTCTTTATTTATCTTATCTCACAGCAGTTTATTGCACATATGTCACATGAAACAATACACTACTTACACGAAATATAGAACGTCTACGCAGGCACACATATATACGTAAGTATATTTGTCGCAGTTATGTGCATATAGCGATGGTAACACGGGAAACCACTCAGGAAACTCGTTCGAGTCCCTTCGTACTGAGACACTGGATACAGACCTGCACTCGACTCCCGTAAATGCTATACGTTTCTGATTTTTTATTTCATTTTATTCAACTGCCCTGTTTTTGCACAATATTAATTGAAGTGATAAAAATATGATACCCGAAATTTACTCAGCTTCTGTCGTTATCAGTGTTGTCGTCGTAATCTATATTATATAATTATAAATCGTAATTTACCATTTGGCTAACGAAAGTAACGATATCACACATGTTTGTTTAAAGATAGCTAGCTAACATAGCAGAAAAACTATTGGACCTTATCGTGAAATTTCGTATGTTACGTAAACGTCGTGTGTTACATAAACATTAAATAATATATAATATATAATATTTAATATATAATATATAATAATAAACGCGTAAATCTTTTTCAAAGCTTAGAGATGTACACCCAGTTTCCACCAATCGGCTCCGATAAAAAGTAATGCGGCGATATCTTCAGCGGAACCTCCGTTCTCGGTGACAATTCCAATTTATAGTTGCTCAGCAAAATAGCCAAACAAGTCTTTGTCTGCAGCATTGTCATTCTCATTCCAGCGCAGATTCTCGGTCCTACGCTGAATGGAATGAACGTCATTTTTTCTATAGTTTGTTTCCTCACGTTGTTAAACCGTTCTGGGTCGAAAACATGCGGATTGACCCAGTACTTTGGATCAGTATGCAGACCGAAAATGGATATGTCCACTTCGATACCCGGTTTTATGCGATAGGTTAGTCCATCCGACCCTTGCAGCTCGAATTCCTCGGTGCACATTTTTTGCAAGAAACCAACAGCCGAGTGAAGTCTTTGAGACTCGTTAATCACTTGGTTCATATACGTCATGTCGTTTAATGCTTCGAACGTCAAACCGCCGTGCTTCTCGATCGTCGACTTCACTTCCTTTCTCAGTTTCTTTTGAATCTCCGAATTAGCAGCCAAGTCATGACCAATGAAATTCAGCGTAATACTGGTCGTCTCCGTTCCGTCCAAATATAAGGAAGCTGCATGTGCCGATACATTCTCTTCGTCGATCACACCCCCGGTCGTCTCCAAGTCGATCATCCATTGAAGGAAATCGTTCCTAGGTGTTGAGTCGTTTCTCCTGATTTTTAAATTTTCGTACACGACCTTCCGGAAAAATCTCTCCATTGATTCAGGCAGGAAACTAAACTTCAGCAGACGATTGATACTCGGATAATGGAACGTGATTATGGTTTCCAACGATTCCTCGAACGTGTTTCCGTTAAGTTCATGAAGCGGCTTGACTTCAGCGTTATCTTCGAAACAGAATCCCTCGATGCCTAAAGTGTTCGCCACAACCTCGCAGGTGTACCTCGAGAATAACGATTTCAGGTCGACTTCGTACTTAGTGCTCGTTTTTAGTCGCCTGTTCAGGAAATGATCGAACTTTTTACACACTTCGCTGATAACTGCGAAGAGAATCTTCAATCTCACGTTGGAAAACGCGTAGATCAAACGCTTCCTACCTACCGACCATGTGTCTCCGTAACTAAACAACGGATGTTTAGATAAAAGAGGATCCGCCTCTGATACAACTTTACGCCCGTTCTTGTGAAAGTTGGAGAAATTACTTTGCAGCACGATTTTTACCAGATTAGGATCCCGAACGATTAACACTGGCCTCGTTCCTTTGTAGATACCGACCATGCTGTGATCCTCGTACTCCTCGTAGGCCAGACGAATGAATTCGGCGAAATTCATTCGTTTCGTTATTATAGGTAACATGTGGCCCAGAAGTGGGACACATCCTTTGATCGTTGGAATTCCGTTTCTCTTCCAATAGTTGTGCTTCTGATACAGGTAAAAGCAAAGCAGCGAAAACGCGCCTGCGAAAAGCGCAAGAAACGTAAGTGACATTTTTTTAACACAGCAACGATACACAGAAACGATGTTGTCAAGTATGTTATTCGGGGAATGATAGGTCAACTCTAACAGTAGCTCGAAATTAGTAATGCGCAGAGATAGTTAACGTAAGTTTCGATGCTCGTAACGCTTCTGCCACTCTGCAGCTCTGGCGTGCCTATTATACGTAATCAAAATTCATAAAGTCAAAACAAAAAAAAATAAAGTCGGAGTAATCAGGGAAGAGTAATGAATATTTTATATTGAGGAACGATACAAAATAGTTTTTTCATTTTCGTCGAATTGACGATTTAGTTTCAAGTCATAGATAATTCTAATAAGTTTTTGTAAAGATACACATTTTTCCATATTTCACTCTAGATACATATTTTTTTAACAAAGTGTAATCTTCTTCCTAGTTGCGTGACAAACCACTTTAGTGAACCACTTTTTAATTATTTCTTTATTTACCTTATCTAATAACAGTTTATTGGGTCATTACATGGAAAACGAAACTACCTATAAGAAATATAGAATGTGTACGCATGCGTAGTTATATTTGTCGCAATTATGTATATATAGCGATGGTAATATGGGAAAACCACTCAGGATGCTCGTTTGAATCTCTGAATTCTGAGACAGAATACAAACATGCACTCGACCCACGCTTCAATAAATGCTATACGCTTCTGATTTCTTATTCTATTTTATTTAATCGCGCTCTATTTTTGCATCACATAGGCGATTAATTGAAGTGACAAACATATGCTCGGATTATACAGCTTCGGTCTTTATCAATGTTGTTGCCGCTAGTAATATGTATTACATAACTACAAATCGTATTTCGCAAGCGAAAGTGACGGTATCACACATGCTTGTTTAAAGATGGCTATCTGACGTAGCAGAAAGAATTATTGGACTTCGTCGTGAAATTCCTTTTGTTATGAAAACGATATAAATGTTAATACGTGTAAATTTTTTAAATGTTCGCACGACAAGTTCAAAGCTTAGAGATGTACACCCAGTTTCCGCCAATCGGTTCCGACATAAAATAATGCGGAGATATCTGTAGTGGAACCTGCGTTCTTGGTGACAATTCCAATTTATAGTTGTTCATCAAACTAGCCAAACAAGCCTTCATCTGTAGCAGTGCCATTCTCATTCCAACGCAGATTCTCGGCCCTTCGCCGAACGGAAGGAACGTCATTTTCTCCATAGTTTGTTTCCTCTCGTCGTTGAATCGTTCCGGATCGAAAACGTCCGGATCGACCCAGTAGTTAGAATCACCGTGCAAACCGAAAACGGATATGACAATTTCGGTGCCAGGTTTTATGCGATAGGTCAGTCCATCTGACCCTTGGAGCACGAATTCCTCGGTGCACGTTTTGTGTAAGAAACCAAGACCCGGGTGAAGTCTTTGAGACTCGCTAATCACTTGATTCATATACGTCATGTCCTTCAGTGCCTCGAACGTCAAACCGCCATGCTTCTCGATCGCCGACCTCACTTCCTTTCTCAGTTTCTCTTGAATCTCCGGATGAGCGGCCAAGTTGTGACCAATGAAATTCAACGTAACGCTGGACGTCTCCGTTCCATCGAGATAGAAGGAAACTGCATGTGCCGATACAGTCTCTTCGTCGATCACCTCTCCGGTCTTCTCCATGTCGATCATCAATTGAAGGAAATCGTTCCTGGGTGTTGAGTCGTTTCTCCTGATTTTTAAATTTTCGCTGACAACCTTCCGGAAAAATCCGTCTATTGATTTAGGCAGGAAACTGAGCTTCAGCAGATGATTGATACTCGGATAATGGAACGCGATTATGGTTCCTAACGATTCCGCGAACGTGTTTCCGGCAAGTTTATGAAAGGCGCTGGCCCCAGCGTCATCTTCGAAACAGTATCCCTCGATGCCTAAACCAGCGTTCGCCACAACCTCGCCGGTGAACCTCAAGAATAACGGTTTCATATCGACTTCGTATTTGTTGCTCGTTTTCAGTCGTCTGTTCAGGAAATCCTCGAACTTTTTGCACACTCCGCTGACAGCTGAGAAGAGAATCTTCAATCTGACGTTGGAAAACGCGTAGGTCAGACGCTTCCTGCCGGTCGACCATGCTTCTCCGTAACAGAAGAACGGATTTTTAGATAAAAGAGGATCCGCCTCTGGTACAATTTTGATCCCGTTCTCGTGGAAATTGGAGAAATTACTTTGCAGCACAGTTTTCACCAGATTAGGATCCCGAACGATTAACACTGGCCTCGTTCCTTTGTAGATTCCGACCATGCTGTGATCCTTGTGCTCCTTGTAGGCCAGACGAATGAATTCGGAGAAATTCATTCGTTTCGTTATCATAGGTAACGTGTGGCCCAGAAGTGGGACACATCCTTTGACGGTTGGAATTCCGTTTCTCTTCCAATAGTTGTGCTTCTGATACAGGTAAAAGCAAAGCAGCGAAAACGCGCCCGCGAAAAGCGCAAGAAACGTAAGTGACATTTTTTTAACACAGCAACGATACACAGAAACGATATTATCAAGTATGCCCGGAGGATGACAGATCAACTCTAACAGTAATGCGCAGAGGCAGTTAACGCAAGCTGCGATGCTTGAAACGCTTCTCCCACTCTGCTCCCATTGTCGTACATGTTATACGTAATCAGAATTCTCTGTTACAATTGTTTGTCTCAGAAACGTGGGGAAAAATGTGATTGAAATGTGTATTATTTTTACATTCTACAGCGATAGTACACAGAAAGAAAAAACGGAACGATACGTATACATGTGCAATAGTAGTAGTGCTGATAATTATATTATCTCAATGTCACATAGATGCTAGCACGCAGAGTCGTAATGATATAGAAACGATAGTAGTTTACAAATCCGGGCTGTTATTTTGTTTACTACAATGCACGTGAACTCAAAGACGTAATAATTGTACAGAGCGAAATTAATTAAACCACTGTTGTTTGATACTAAAATGTTTTCTAAATCAATAGTTTTTTTCTTATCAACCTGTGATTAAATAGTGTAGTATACTTTTTTTTATAAAAATTGAATCTCGCATGTAAGTAGATATAAATGTGATTTTTCTTCACAGAAACGTGTAATCGTACGACAAAGAGAATCTAGTAGCATGAAATTATATTGAATTTATATTTGTTTAATCTCTAACGTGGAAATCTTGGGAACGAACGCAAACATCTCGCAAATATCGTATCTGAATGCTTGTTCACTCCCTAGTTCAATCAAATTCGTGTTTGCGTTCTTATCGGCCTTTTCATTAAACGTTATTTGCACGAATTTATCAGAGTGGGGGACGAATATAATATCGTATATAAAGCTTCAAGTGATTTGACATTGGAAACGCACGAGCTCAGAGCTTTGACACTGTTATGGCTATTATTTAATTGATAGCTCACGTCATCCAGATCCTCTCTGCGCTTGCTGCGAACAGTTCTTATTTAAATTGCGCATTGAGAGTGCAACTATGTTTTCTGTTGCAGCTCTACTCTGTTTAATGCAGTGGCCTTTACGAAGCGGTGAACTTTATGAAAACTTCGGTAAGTACGGCGCAGATTCGCAATTTATCCTTCTCCCGCAATGATACACTCCTGTAAAGAGCAAGTGAGAAAAAGGGAGAGAGATAGAGAGAGTCACTGCTCTCCTAGACTAATGGCTAGGCTGTACGAACTCTGTTCGTTTTCACACTAGCGAAACTATTGGAAAACTGTTTTGTTTCCCGGGGAAACTCTTACCCTGTTCCGTTTCGAGATGCAGCGCGCGTATTATGCGAGAGATAAGTAACGAAAGTACAATCCACGAGGATGCTTGAAGTTCGCGAGCAATTTGCCAGCAAGCAACGTTTTCTATTTGATCGCGGGAAATAATACGAAACAATACGCGTAGCGTCGAACTTTATCTTGATCTCGATGGAAATGCCTAATCGTTTGGCACCTATGTTTTTCTTGGACGAGTTAATCTTTTACACAAGCACCTCCTATTGTTTTCAGATGTGTCGTTCGTTGAAATTTCTCCGCATGTTAAAAAAGGATTCGGAATTCTTCCGACGAAAATTACGCGTTTACCATGCGAAATATTTTGCAAAAGATAAATTACCAATAATTACGTTACGTGTGACACTTATGATGAAATTGGCGAAATTCGTACCACTATATTCGACAATTTACCCGAGTCTCTTTCAGAAACTTTCGTGCAGAGGTTAGGATAGAAATTTCGTCAAACCCGTGAAAATCATTTTACGAAACTCGAGCCCCCCGCGAGACCGAATCGATTTAACAGTTGTCGACGGCGATCGATTTCTCGGCGGTGAATTTTGCGCTCGTCGTGCAAGTCCGCTAAATGGAGCTTAGATGCAGACCGCTTCTCCGATAAGGTGTCCTCTCGCCTCTCTTTACCTCTGGCTGGTCTCTGCCAAAGGCAGCCTCTGGTAATTAAGTCGAGCCCACAGCAACGTCGCTCCCATTGTGTGAGGCAAATGGGCTGTTTAGCCCGGATACATGACTCCATCCCCCTATTATTGTGCATGTACCGACGCAATCGATCACCACCCCTGCTTTATTCTCGCCATCCCCTCCCCCCCCCGACAGTCCCACCACTATCTTTTCCCCTCTCATTTTCTCTTCTTCGGCTTTCCGAACGATCCCTCTTTCCGACCCTCTTTTTCTCCGGTGGGCTAATTCCGCTCTCCTCTTTCCGTCAGCGCCGGGACGTCTTGCCCTTGGTCTTCGATAATCGCGTAAACGTCAGATCGAAACGTTCGAACGGTCAAGTGGAGGCAAGAAAGAAGGAAAAGATAGGAAAAAAGGAGAAAAGAATCGTAATCCGAAAGTTGATCCGAACGAGTCGGCAGGGAAAAAGGGGTGACGCTCGTTTCGTAGCCGAATGACAAAAACTCCGGCGCGCCGGTCTTCGCGCTGAAACCTTAGAAACATCCGGGACCGGGAGGATTTGCCAGGGAACGAGTTTCCAGTTCGAGTGGAATCTGGCTGAATGAAACCTGATTCGATGGTAATAATACGCGGCGTCTGTTTCCCCTTTTTTCGAGTATATATCCCCCGTCAAACACTGCTGCGCGCCAGAGCACGGATCACGCAGATCACACGCGAGAGAGAGAGAGAGAGAGAAAGAGAGAGAAAGAGAAACGAAAATATTGTTCCATAAAGATACCTTTCGCTGTAACGTACTCTGTGTGTACGTTTCTTCGTACGTGTGTACGCGGGCGAACGGTCTCTGGCGAAGTATTCCTGGAGGTGACTGGAGGACAGGAAATCCAGTTGAAACGAATTCAGGAAAATTCTCTCTGGGGAGTGGACGACGATTCGTGCCGCTTCCCCCGAAAGAGTTTCCACGAACTCTTTGACACGGGACACTTTAAAAACGTGCGAGGAATATCCAAAGTACGCCACTTCAGCCGTAACTACTTCCTACGACGTAAGGACTACTTTTCGAGCGGAATTACCTCTCGTTCACAAGATCACGTGCTTCTGGATTTTTATTTAAATCTTCGTCTTGCTGTGTAACCGATCGATAACTTCGCATATTCAACTGTTAAGGCCAAGGGCCTTAATCAACATATAAACATAATGCGAGGGATGCTGGGCAGGTCTATAGATTGCTAGGCCTATAAAGTAATTACGAATTGACAGTGCCTCATAATCGAAAATATCACCTCTCCAATCATACAATAAAGTGGATCTTATATAAATCTCGACACGGCATAGAATTTGCCACAGTTTAGATCAGACAAGTCAGTTCAGTTCGTAGTCATTCACTTATTATACCTGCCGTCCATCTTGCCACGTACATATTTATATTTCCAGTATTAAATACTCACTTCACTCCAAAGAGCAAACTGACATCAGTCATTGTTTCAACACTCTCGATTCAAGCAATAATCGCGCATTCAAACCACATCTTCTCTTGATTGTATAATAAAATCAAGGAAAGATCCATCATATTCATTCATTTCCCACATCAGTGGATGATCCTTCGAATCGATATACGCAGAGATACATGATCGAATTAGAATTTTACCTGTCTTCGAAAGTTCCCGCTATTGCAGGTCGCGTCGCAAGTTAATCTAAATTTGTTTGCAATTACGTCTGCCGTGTTGTTTCGCCGTTAACTTCGGAGAGTCGCTGTATTCCGGAGAAGTAGCAGGCTCATAACTTCGCAGCGTCGAACGAATCTAGTTTCGCGAGAGAAACTTCTTCGGGCGACGCGGTAAACTTTCGCGACGCGTTGCGAATATTCCACGTACGTGAAAAGAATGTCAGGTTGTAGAGAAAGAGAGAGAGAGAGAGAGAGAGAGGAAGGGAGAGAGACCCAGCTGGTTACTTCCTTAGTCGGGAAGGTAGAGAACGGTAGAGATAGTTCTACTAGCAGCCGATGACAAACTGTATCGATTACCATCGCGGCCACGTACGGCTGTTCTCATGTAAGACGTATATTTGGCGGCCTCTCTGTCATTAGACCGCGTTTCTATCGATCAGATGTGGTTTGCGAACCACCTGACGCTTCCTGAGGATCCTTCCTCGTTCCTCGGAGGAATTACACCATGTTCACCGCAGATGCACCGATCCCTCCGGTGAATAATGGCCTGCCGAACCCTGGCGCGGACCTTGTCGCGAATTCTTTCAGCGATAAATCAACGTGAACGTGAAACGCGCGACGTTTGCGCGTGATTTGTCAGAAAACTCGCGAACGGTGATTTAATTAGAAAAAGATATTAACCACGGAGTCACACTGTATTACGAGGCATCGCGCTTCGCCCGAAACGTAGCGTATCGTCGATTATTCCTTTGTAAATTGATAGATACACATAGAAGGCGGTCACAATCACGCGTTTTAAGATTAATGGCGGGATTATTCACGCGCGACGATGTGTGCTGCGTGTGCTTTCCACAAAACGTAATAAAATAGACGGATGGTTTTCAGTGGCCACCCGGCTACCAAATCGGTTGACCGACAATACGTCGATGTCGAAGCTAATCGTTTAATTTATTCTGAAATATACTCGGTATATCCGTAACGGAGTGGAAGTACGTTAGGAAAGAAAGGAATTTCTGTTTCTGTCCACGTCAGGATAAATTAATTCCAGGTTAATTATAAATGATCAGTCTCTTTCTTGATACGTCACATACATATTTCTGATTATTAAACAATTGTCACAAATATTAATTTACAGGATAGTAATGTTGTGGCGGCGCGGGTATTTTTAAAAAACGAGTTGATCACAAATAAAGAGAGAAGAAAATAACGGAAGATATATCGCGTTCTCAGTTGTTAAAAATTAACGGAAACAAACGGTCGTCGTAAGAATCTTGCTGTACGTGAATTAAAATGAATAGTTATTGTTATGGTTTCTTGTTAAATTCCGTAATATTTATTTAAAGGAGTAAATCTCTGTAATGTGACACTTTTTTACACATTAACCTTCTAAGTACTAACGTCCGATATATCGACACCTATACAATATCTGAGAAAGCCGAATGTATTATTGCAAATAAATTGTAATAAATTATTGCAAAATAACGTAGTCTTTATTTGATTTGATTAACTTTGAAAATATAGGAACTACAATAATTTATATGAAAACATATAAAATTAAACTTCGCCTGGCGATTTAAATCCGTCCACTAGCGAAGGAGTGATTTAAATATCCCGTCCTTAGTTAAGTCTTGTCTTGTGTCGCACATGGATTAAAGGGGAATGGAAAATTCCAGTCTTCAATTTCAAATGTTAAATTGGGCAACTGAATCGACAGATTAAATACGAAGCATTGGAATCCTTTGATATGAGTGACACTCGTTATCAGAAGCCATTTTGGTATACATTAAAGGAAGACGAGATTAGTTACGGACGAGTTTTCAACCAGCTGGAAATTAATTAGCATATTAGTAGACACATGCATATTAGCAGTCGAGTGCATTTACATTTCTCAGACGTTGGCAGCGTTCTTATAATTTCGTAAGCGATGAATACACAGTGGTTTCTGCGTGTTATTTTCCAGCACTAACGAAGCGTAGAATTGCTAAGTAGAGAATTATCAGTTGCGAAAAATACACTTATCAGTAATAATAAATATCAATATTGATACAAAATGCTAAAAACAACTTGGATAAGTCGAATCAGGATGACTTGCAATGAAATTTTTGCTAGTTTGTTACATAAAAATCGATACTTGGTTTTAAGAATTTCATTTATTTAGAACGATGTTGAGAAATTATACAAGTCGATTGCGAAAGATTCAGATATCAGTGATAAGAGAAGTAAGAAGATAAATGTCATATTTTTACAACTGGTAGCAGGAAAACGTTGATTCCTCGATGGTCGTAACGTCGTTTCTCTTTCTTTGCATTTACTAGTTTTTCAAATGCATTTCGGGTGACGCTTCCTGTCTTTGAAATTCTGATACAAATCGAAGGCATCTTTCATCTGGCACACGCGGCCTAATTTCCTTACCAAGATACATACTCATCTGTCGTCAATATTGTCGCCGCTAGTATTATATATTACACAATTACAAATCGTAATTTACTACCGGTAAACAAAAATAACGATATCACACATGCTTGCTTAAAGATAGCTAGCTAACGTAGCAGAAAGATTTATTAGATTTACTAAGACTTCGTCGTGAAATTTTGTTCGTGATGTAAATATTGATATAAATGTTACGTGCAAATTTTTAAAATGTCCTCACGACAAGTTCAAAGCTTAGAGATGTACACCCAGTTTCCGCCAATCGGTTCCGACATAAAATAATGCGGAGATATCTGTAGTGGAACCTGCGTCCTTGGTGACAATTCCAATTTATAGTTGTTCATCAAACTAGCCAAACAAGCCTTCATCTGTAGCAGTGCCATTCTCATTCCAACGCAGATTCTCGGCCCTTCGCCGAATGGAAGGAACGTCATTTTCTCTATAGTTTGTTTCCTCTCGTCGTTGAATCGTTCCGGATCGAAAACGTCCGGATCGACCCAGTAGTTAGAATCACCGTGCAGACCGGAAACGGATATGACAATTTCGGTGCCAGGTTTTATGCGATAGGTCAGTCCATCTGACCCTTGGAGCTCGAATTCCTCGGTGCACGTTTTGTGTAAGAAACCAAGACCCGGGTGAAGTCTTTGAGACTCGCTAATCACTTGATTCATATACGTCATGTCCTTCAGTGCCTCGAACGTCAAACCGCCATGCTTCTCGATCGCCGACCTCACTTCCTTTCTCAGTTTCTCTTGAATCTCCGGATGAGCGGCCAAGTTGTGAGCAATGAAATTCAACGTAATGCTGGACGTCTCTGTTCCATCGAGATAGAAGGAAACTGCATGTGCCGATACAGTCTCTTCGTCGATCACCTCTCCGGTCTTCTCCATGTCGATCATCAATTGAAGGAAATCATTCCTAGGTGTGGAGGCGTTTCTCCTGATTTTTAAATTTTCGCTGACGGTCTTGCGGAATAAACCATCCACTGATTTAGGCAGCACATTGAATTTCAGCAGACGATTGATACTCGGATAATGGAACGCGATTATGGTTCTCAACGATTCCGTGAACGTGCTTCCGACAAGTTTATGAAAGGCACTGGCCCCAGCGTCATCTTCGAAAGAGTATCCCTCGATGCCTAAACCAGCGTTCGTCACAACCTCGCTGGTGAACCTCAAGAATAACGTTTTCATATCGACTTCGTACTTGTTGCTCGTTTTCAGTCGTCTGTTCAGGAAATCCTCGAACTTTTTGCACACTCCGCTAACAGCTACGAAGAGAGTCTTCAATCTTACGTTGGAAAACGCGTAGGTCAGACGCTTCCTGCCGGTCGACCATGGTTCTCCGTAACAGAAGAACGGATTTTTAGCTAAAAGAGGATCAGCCTCTGGTAAAATTTTGAGTCCGTTCTCGTGGAAATTGGAAAAATTATTTTGCAGCACCATTTTCACCAGATTAGGATCCCGAATGATTAACACTGGCTTCGTTCCTTTGTAGATCCCGACCATGCTGTGATCCTTGTGCTCCTTGTAAGCCAGATGAATCAATTCGGAGAAATTTATACGTTTCCTTATTATAGGCAACATGTGGCCCAGAAGTGGGACACATCCTTTGACAGTTGGAATTCCCTTTCTTTTCCAATAGTTGTGTTTCAGATACAGGTAAAAGCAAAGCAGCGAAAACGCGCCCGCGAAAAGCGCAAGAAACGTAAGTGACATTTTTTTAACACAGCAACGATACACAGAAACGATATTATCAAGTATGCCCGGGAAATGACAGATCAACTCTAACAGTAGCTCGTAAGTAATGCGCAGAGGCAGTTAACGTAAGCTGCGATGCTCATCTCCCACTCTGCTCTCATTGTCGTGCATGTTATACGTAATCGGAGTTGTTGGTTAGAATTTGTTTGTGTCAGAAACGTTTGGTCGAAAACATGACAGTTCGTCTGATGGTCGGTCTCTTAACTATTTTTACACTCTACAGCGATAGCACAAGAGAAAAAACATTCAACGATACACATACATGTGCGAAAGTAATGAATACACGTACAGATATACATAATACAGTGCTGATAATTTAATTAATTATATTGCATCTATCTCATATAGACGCTAATGTTAATGATAGAAGTTTATAGATCCCGGCTATCAAATCGGTTGACCGACAATACGTCGATGTCGAAGCTAATCGTTTAATTTATACTGAAATATACTCGGTATATCCCTAGCGGAGTGGAAGAACGATAGAAAGGAATTTCTATTTCTGTTCACGTCAGGATCCATAAATTAATTCCAGATTAATTATAAATGGTCAGTCTCTTTTTTGATATTTCACATGCATATTTCTGACTATTAAATTGTTGCAAATATTAATTTACAGAAGAATAAAGTTATGGCGGCATACTTATTTTTAGAAACGATCACAAATGAAGATAGAAGAAAATACAATAGCGGAAAATATATCGCGTTCTCAGTTGTTAAAACTCAACGAAGACAAACGTCGTAAGGATTCTGTTATACATCAATTAAAATGAATAGTTATTGTTATAGTTTCTTATTAAATCCCGTAATATTTATATAAAGGAGTAAATCTCTATGATATGACACTTTTTTACACATTAAGAAGCGAAACAATCTTATCTTCTGTCGCACATAGATTAAAGAAGAATGGAAAATTCCATTCTTCAATTTCAAATATTAAATTGGGCAATTGAATCGGCTGATTAAATCGACACGAACCACTCGAATTCGAATCCTTTAAGGTATTCGTTATCAGAAGCCATTTTGGTACACATTTTGGAGGAAGACGAGATTAGTTACGAGGGAGTTTTCAATCAGCTGGGAATTAATTTGCATATTAACACGTACATGCATATTAGCAGTGGAGTGCATTTACGTTCCTCAGACTAACGTCTACAAATCCTGTGTCTTTTGATATACGTCGACGGCGTTCTTATAATTTCGTAAGCGATGAACACACAGTGCGTTATGCGCGTTACTCTCCTGCATTATTACGAAATGTGCAATTTATGAGTAGACAAGTATCAGTTACAAAAAATACTTATCAGTAATTGATATTCAAATCAAATGGTAAAATATGGATAAGTTGCATTAGAATGACTTGCAATGAATTTTTTAGCTAGTTTTGTTACATAAAAATCGACAGTTGCTTCTGCATAATTTCATTTGTTTAGAACGATGTTGAGAAATTTTACAAGTCGATCGCGAAAGATTATATCAGTGACGAGAGAAGTAAGAAGATGAATGTCATATTAAATCGTAGCAGGAAAACGCTGATTCCTCGATGGTCGTAACGTCGTTTCTCTTTCTTCGTCTTCACCAGTCATTCGAATGACTTTCGAGCGACGATTCTTGTCTTCTTTGGAATCCTGATACGAAGGCATCTTTCATCTGGCACGCACGGTCCAATTTCCTTATAAGGAAATTTACTCAGATTGAGTCGTTATCAATATTGTCGCCGCTAGTAAAATATATAACTAAAAATCGTAATTTACTATCTGATAAACGAAAACGGTATCACATATTTGTTTAAAGATAGGTAGCTGAGGTAGCAGAAAGATTTATTGAACTTCGTCGTGAATTTTTGTTGGTTATGTAAACATCGATATAAATGTTAATGCGTGAAAATTTTTAAAAAGCTCACAGAATAAGTTTAAAGCTTGGAGATGTACACCCAGTTGCCGCCAGTCGGCTCCGATAAAAAATTATGCGGCGATATCATCAGCGGAACCTGTGTTCTCGGTGACAACTCCAATTTGTAATTACTCAGAATAATAGCCAAACAAGCCTTTATCTGCATTAGGGCCATTCTCATTCCAACGCAGATTCTCGGCCCCTCGCCGAACGGAAGGTACGTTATTTTTTCTATAGTTTGTTTCTTCTCGTCGTTGAATCGTTCCGGATCGAAAACATTCGGATTCAGCCAATACTTTGGATCGCCGTGCAAACCGAAAACGGATATGACCACTTCGATGCCAGGTTTTATACGATAGGTCAGTCCATCTGACCCTTGAAGTTCGAATTCCTCGGTGCACATTTTTTGCAAGATACCAACAGCCGAGTGAAGTCTTTGAGACTCGCTAATCACTTGAGTCATATACGTCATGTCCTTTAATGCATCGAACGTCAAACCGCCGTGCTTCTCGATCGTCGACCTCGCTTCCTTTCTCAGTTTCTCTTGAATCTCCGGATTAGCAGCCAAGTCGTGACCAATGAAATTCAGCGTAATACTGGTCGTCTCCGTTCCGTCCAAATATAAGGAAACTGCATGTGCCGATACATTCTCTTCGTCGATTACATCCCCGGTCTTCTCCATGTCGATCATCAGTTGAAGGAAATCGTTCCTAGGTGTTGAGTCGTTCCTCCTCACTTTTAAATTCTCGCAGACGACCTTCCGGAAAAATCCGTCCACCGATTTAGGCAGTAAACTGAGCTTCAGCAGACGATTGATACTCGGAAAATGGAACGCGATTATGGTTCCCAACGATTCCTCGAACGTGTTTTCGGCAATTTCATGAAACGAACCGGCTCTAACGTCATCTTCGAAACAGTATCCCTCGATGCTTAAACCAGCGTTCGCCACAATCTCGCCCGTGAATCTCGAGAATAACGATTTCAGGTCGACTTCGTACTTGTTGCTTGTTTTCAGTCGCCTGTTCAGAAAATCCTCGAACTTTTTGCACACTCCGCTGACAACTGTGAAGAGAATCTTTAATCTGACGTTGGAAAACGCGTAGGTCAGACGCTTCCTGCCGGTCGACCATGCTTCTCCGTAACTGAACAACGGATGTTTAGCTAAAAGAGGATCCGCCTCTGGCACAACTTTGCGCCCGTTCTCGTGGAAGTTGGAGAAATTACTTTGCAGCACGGTTTTTACCAGATTAGGATCCCGAACGATTAACACTGGCCTCGTTCCTTTGTAGATACCGACCATGCTGTGATCCTTGTTCTCCTCGTAGGCCAGACGAATGAATTCGGCGAAATTCATTCGTTTCCTTATCATAGGTAACATGTGGCCCAGAAGTGGGACACATCCTTTGACCGTTGGAATTCCGTTTCTCTTCCAATAGTTGTGCTTCAGATACAGGTAAAAGCAAAGCAGCGAGAAAGCACCCGCGAATAGCGCAAAAAATGTAGGTGACATTTTTTGAACACAGCAGTGAAACGATATTGTTTATGTATGTTATCCCGCGAATGACGGATCAACTGTAATGGTAGCTTGGAAACGTAATGCGCAAAGACAGATAACGTAAGCTGCGATACTCGAAATACTTCCCCCACTCTGTTTGCACATGTCGTGGTGCACATTATACGTAATCAAATTTCTCCGTTACAATTGTTTGTCTGAGAAACGTAGAGGGAAAACGTGATAGATATGTGATGATTAATCTCTGAATTATTTTTACAGTCTACAGCGATAGTACAGAGAAAAAACGTACACCGATACATATACATGTGCGAAGGTAATGAATAGATGTACGCAAAAAGATAACATAGTGCGATAACAGATAATTATATTGTCTCAGTGTCATATAGACGCCAATAGACAGATCGTTAATGATATAGAAATGATAGAAGTTTATAAAGCCCGGCTACCAAATCGGTTGAATGACAATACGTCGATATCGAAGCTAATTGTTTGATTTATACTGGAATATACTGGGTATATCCAACGAAATGAAAAAACGATAGAAAGGAAAGGAATTTCTATTTCTGTCCACGTCAGGCTCCATTAATTAATTCCAGATTAATTGTAAATGATCAGTCTCTTTTTTGATATTTCACATACGTATTTCTGTCTAGTTAACAATTGTTACAAATATTAATTTACAGAGGAGTAATGTTGTGGCGGCGCGGATATTATTAAATAAAAGCGAGTTGATCACAAGTAAATAGAGAAGAAAATAAAATAGCGGAAACGTTCTCAGTTGTTAAAAATTGACGAAAACAAACGGTCGTCGTAAGAATCTTGTTGTACATGAATTAAAATGAATAGTTATTGTTATAGTTTCTTGTTAAATCCCGTAATATTTATTTAAAGGGATAAATCTCTATAATGTGACAGTTTTTTACTCATGAAGAAGCGAAGCAGTCTCGTGTCGCACACAAATTAAAGAAGAATAAAAAATTTCATTCTTTATTTTCAAATATTAAATTGGGCAATTGATTCGACAGATTAAATCGACACTCAAGAAGTACTCAAATCCGAATCATTTGATATGAGAAGCACTCGTTATCAGAAGTCATTTAGGTATACATTGAAAGAAGACGAGATTAGTTACGGGGGAGTTTTCAATCAGCTAGAAATTAATTTGCATATTAGCAGTCGAGTGCATTTCCTCAGACGTCGGCGGCATTCTTATAATTTCGTAAGCGATGAACACACAGTGGTTTATGCACGTCTCCCGCACTATTACGAAGTACGCAGCTGATAAGTAGAGAAGTGTCAGTTGCGAAGAATACTCTTATCAATAATTGATATCCAAATGCTAAAAGCACTTTGGATAAGTCGAATCAGGATAACTTGCAATGAATTTTTTGCTAGTTTGTTAGGTAAAAATCGACAGTTGCGTCTGCGAATTTCATTTATTAAGAACGATGTTAACAAAATTTACATGTCAATCGCGAAACTTTGTATCAGTTACAAGAAAGGTAAAAAGATAGGTGTGATATTTTCATAACTAGTACATAGAAAACGATCGCTGATTCCTCGATGGTCATAAGTCGTTTCTCTTTCTCCTCTTTGATACCAGCTTCTCAAACTCCTTTTGAGTGATGCTTCCTGTCCTCTTTGAAATCCTGATACGACTGCATCTTTCATCTGGCACGCGCGGCCTAATTTCCTTATGAGGAAACATACTTAGATTCTGTCGTTATGAATATTAACATAATTATAAATCGTAATTTATCTGGTAACTTAATAATCGTAACTATCTGGTAAACGAAAATTACGATATCATATGTTTAAAGATAGCTAACGTAGCAGAAAGATTTATTAGATTTCGTCGGGAAATTTTGTTTATTATGTAAGCATGTTATGTAAATCTTAATACGTGTAAATTTTTGAAGCTCGCACGATAAGTTGAAAGCTTAGAGAGGTTTCACCCAGTTTCCGCCAATCAGCTCCGACATAAAGTAATGCGAGGACATTTTTGGAGAAATTCATTCGTTTCGTTATCATAGGTAACGTGTAGTCCAGAAGTGGGACATATTTGACAATTGGAATTCCGTTTCTCCTGCAATAGTTGTGCTTTTGATATAGGTAAAAACAAATTAGCGAGAACGCGTCCGCAAAAAATGCATTTGAAATTTTTCAACAAAGAAACGATATTGTCAAGTTTGTTTTCCGAATATGTTATCTAACAGTAGCTTGTAATTAGTAATGTACAGAGTCAGCTAATGCAAGTTGCGATGCTTGGAACGTTTTTCCACTCTGCTCGCATATTTTGTCGTGCACATTATATGTAGTCAAAATTCTCGGTTACAAATGTCTGTCTAAGAAACGTAGGGGATAGACGTGATGGATGTCTAATGATCAATTTCTGAATTATTTTTACGGTGGTACAAAGAAGAGAAAGCCAACGATACATACACATGTACGGAAGTGAATGTGTGCGCTCGTATAGATAGCACGGTGCTGGTAATTATATTGTATGAATGTCACATAGATGCTAACACACAGAACGTTAATAATATAGAAACAATAGTAATTTACAAAGCCGTGCTGTTCTCTGTTCTCGATAATGCATGTGAATTCAAAGACGTAATTATTGTACAGAGCGAAATTAATTAAACTATTATTATTTGAAACTGAAATGACCTAAATCAATAGTTTCTTCTTATCAGCCTATGATTAATTAGTCTAATATACTTTTTTTTATAAAAATTCTGATCTCGTATGCAAATAGATATAAATTTGATTTTTCTTCACGAAAACGTACGTAATCGTACGGCAAAGAGAATCTATTGTAGTAGCATCAAATTATACTGATTTCTTAATCTCTAACGTGGAAATCGTTAACGAACGCAAACGAGACATCGTGTCTGAATGCTCGTTCACCTCCTAGTTCGACCAAATTCGTGTTTGCGTGTATCGTTGTGCTCATCAAACGTCAATGTTACGTTTAAATTTGCACGAATTTTGTCAGAGTGGGGGGCGAATGTAATGTCGCGTATAAAGCTTCAAGTAATTTGACATTGGAACACACGTACTCAGAGCTTTGACACTGTTACGGCCATTATTTAGTTGATAGCTCGCGTCATCCAGATCCTCTCTGCGCCTGCTGCGAACAGTTCGGTGGCAGCCTCTTAGCCACGTGACACTCTGAGGTAGCTGAGTTTTCTCTGCGTTCTCGTTCCGAGAACCGTAAACTAGAACAAGCTGCCGTGCCCTCTCTATCTTCTCTCGAGTGTGACGAAGTGGTCTAGAGTTCACTCTCCTCTCTTTGCATACAGAAGTCTCCATCCGCCCTTCTCTCCTCTCGCCGGTGTTCACGGTTTTTAAAATTACGCCGAGGTCATCTTCCGAGTGGCGCGGCCCATTCGCAACAAGTTCCCCCCCAAGTACTTCGAGATCAATCATCGCTTTAACACATCGTCGGTCTCGGTGGACGGCTTAATTTTTAGAGCGTTTCGCTTTCGTTTGTATTTATACATGCCGTCTAGACGCAATCACGCTTGAACTAATCCTAATTATCTGCGATGCGTCAATATTAATCGAAGGTTAATTGGATATTCCAGAGATCCTCGAGTGTTTCTGCTAATCGTTTCGTACATCGATCAACCGGAAAAGCGAGTTAACACGTTGAATGTTATGGCGAGGGAATCACCGGTGATCGGCACTCAATTTGCCACGGTGACCGGCGATGCCGAGATTAGTAGTAACACATCATTCGAATGTTGATACTCTTAATTTTATTCGAATTTATTTGTGCAACGATGTGAAGAAATTAATGTAGTTCAGAACATATAAAAATAGCTTTATTCGTACACGTAATACGTAATGCGTAAATATCATTCGCTCGTTTATATTATGCGATATATCGTATTGAAGCAAACAAAGAAAAGGTGGATCGGTACAGTCTTCGCGACACATGACGACTTTCTTGGTACAATATTTTTCTTTTGTTCTACCTTATTGTTTCGAACTCTTCTACAAAATCGTCGCCGGATCCTATAGTGATTACGATAATTTATATTTATATCACAATACTATAAATAATTAATAACTCCGTAATTAATTTTAGTTGTTTATATAAAAATATTATCAATATCACAAAATATACAATTACTAATAATTTAATGAAGATTACATAATGGAAGTTAAATGACGAAATAACGAATGAAGAATTTCTACTATGGCTACAATATATATAAGTGTCAGTAAACATTTCTATGGTGATAATAAAATTAATAGCTATTTTTAAATATTTTATTGTTTATATTAAATACACATCTCGACGGAACATAGATGTCGTCTAGATCTAAATTCTTCGAAGTAGAGGTCGCTACAATCCTACGGCTTTTTCCGCCATCTTTTTTTCCATTTCGTACGTGAAGAAATGCAACCCTCAATTTCATCGTGTGACCCTTAGTAAAATAAATCCATGATTATGTGATAGGTATATACCTATAATGTAATGTTGTACAAAATTTTATTTTATTTAAATTATTATCACCAAATGGCAATGTTTAATAAATTTGAAAAGGAAACCTAATACTTCAACTTATCTGTCGCAGTTGTTTCAATACAAGATTTATCACGTAATGACAGATCAGTGTGTCAATTTCACCGTATTAATCATAAACGTAGAAAATTGCAAATACCTTCGATGTGAGAGAAAAAAAAAAAAAAAGAAAAGAACGGCAACGACGAAGTATCGCTGAGCGATAACGATTTTTCGAAAAGTTGCACAACGGAAAGCGGAAGCTAACTCTAGGAATATTAGCGTTGGTTGGCAGTGTCGTAGGTATCGTGCACAAAAGCATACCACCGGCAGAGTGAGGTCAGTGCATTTTATCGGACGTATTTTCATGGAACGGCGACACGAGCTCGCGGCCAACAGCATGAATGTTTGATGGAGCGAGTCAGATCGCTCGGAAGTAGCGGAGTTGACTCTCTCTCTCTCTCTCTCTCTCTTTTTCTCTCTCCAATATTAGCCGCGATAACGTCACTCGTCGATCAAATGAAAGGTTCACTCCGGGGCGGGAAGCCTCGACGAGAGAGAGAAGGATCGAACGAGTAAGTGACTGGCAGGAAAAATCTGGCATAGAAACGATAGATAGAGCTATGATTTCTATTCGGCTGCAGTTTCAAACGTGGAGAAATTCG